GGCGATCCTTCCGCCTCAGCCTTCCGAGTAGCTGGAATTACAGGCATGCGCTACCACGCCCGGCTGATTTTTTGTTTTATTGTAGAGATGAGGTCTTGCTGCCCAGGTGGGTCTCGAACCCGCGGGCTCAGGCCATCCACTCACCTCAGCCTCCCAAAGGCGCGGGATGACAGGCTGAGCCACCGAGCCCGGCTGCAGCTCTTTTTCAACACATGCAAAGGAAAGACTTTTAGAGTGCCTAGTGAAAGATCGACTCCCAGTATTATCTATTTAACTTGGAAAGAAAGGATATTTCCTGTTTACAGAGCTAATCCTGAGGTGTTGAAGGGTTTATCCAGATCAGAGTCTCACATCGGGGAGAGACTCCATCGGCGGCGAGAGACTCTCTTCAGAAGTTTTCATTTCAATTAGAGAGGAATTTCATGCCACCAAGGGATCCAAACCATCAAACAGCTTTGCCTGTCCCTTTATTTTCCCGGAGACAAAGTTAGGCAACATTTATGTCCTGCACGGTAATCTAGCCCCTGCCTATGTCGGGGTTACTCTGTACATTTAGGCACTTCAGGGACCCAGTGGCAAAAGATCATGAGCAAAGGTGTTCCCCACAAGGCTCTGCCCACAAGAGAAAACTCTCTAGACAAGAGTAACTGTTTCAAAAGAGGGAGGAGTGCTCACCACTCCTCTGTCATTATAGGTGAGTCTGTGTCCTACAGTCTTATATCATCTGGGGCAGGTTAAATGCTGATATTCAATTTTTACATCTCTTTTAGATGTTTTTAGGCTAAATGAAAAATCAAACTGCAACCAAGCATGATTTATGGATAAAGAATGCACTCTTTTATAGCTTTTCAACATTATATCTGGCCTCCAGATTTTGTGAGAACAGAAAATATTATCCATTTGTTTCTTATGAGAAACACATTTTTAAAAAATTATTTAAAGATGTGGGGATTAGGTATACAAGTGTTCATCGTACAGTTAAAGTCTGGGCCTCCCTTTGGTCCCCACTTTGCCTGGGTTGAGATCTTGCTTAATTTATTACTGCACAGATTGATAACAAAAGCCCTGCAAGAAATTATTTTTAACTTTTCACTGCTAATAAACTATTTCTACAAGGAGACCTTGAAGTATTGAAGCAATGAGTTCTGTGTCAATAAGTTCTATAAGCTGGAATTTGCCAAGAAATGCTAAAATAACTAAATTATTTTTTTTGGTCAGGAAAGAATATTAATTTGGTTCTTAACAGACTTCTTTCATACAATTTATCTTCTTTTCTACAGGTGGTTGTGAGCAGAGAACAGAAGTAAAACATGAAACTTTTAATGCCGTGTTAGAAGCAGAAGGAATTGTGGAATTCTTTTGCTAGCGCTAATATTTCAGAAAGCTTTAGGGAAGAGTAGCTGAGCTTAAAAAGTGATTTTTTAAAAAATTAAAGCAAAGCAAGACTGAGGTATTCAATTTGAGAAGATTTTAACTCCAAAATAAACAAGTAGAACGAGACAGTTCTATTCATTGAAGATAGAAATTCAATGGTTTCCAAAAGTTATTGTCCATTAGAGTCATCCAGAGCGATGGCTAAAAATGCCCCCAAACTCACATTTTTTAACAAGTACTGAAGGATATTATTTGTGTGTGGACCTCGCTTTTACAAACAGGGCAGAACAAACCAACCATATAGTTAGACTATACAGTTATTTTTAGAAGGTGAGGAACTCCAGATCAGGAAGCGTGTGGTTGGCTTATCCCCTATAACGCAGTTTTGTAGTATTTTAGGAATAGTAAATGTAACTACTATAAAAATCATCAATACTTCACATTTTAGGGTTTAAATAGTAAGATCATAACCATTTTCTCTCTCCGTTTTCTCCAACAAAGGGAGTAGCAGGAAACGCCTGAGGAAGTGAGAAAAAAAAAGAAAAAAAGGAAGGAGGACGCGGACACAAAGCAGCGCCCCAGTGAGGGGGTCGGGCTTGGTTCTTGGCTCCAAGAAAGGACCTCAGTTCCCCTTTCGGCAGGTGAGCGTAGGAGGCGTTCCCGTATCCCGCTACCTAGGGCTCGCTCGCGCACCCTGCGGCCGCCCGGAGCTGGAGGCGCCAGGCGCCGCGGCAGCGCATCCTGGTGGACACCGCGCGCTGGCGCCTCGCAGCCGCCTCCGGTCCGGGCTGAGCCTGCATGGGCAAAGCAAGCGCGCTGCGGGCGCCGCGCGGCCGGCCGCTCGCGCGCGCGGCCCCCTCGGCTCTGGGGAATGGTTTGCTGTGGTCCATCAGTTAAGGGCAACACGCAGGGGCAGACCAGGTTTGGGCGCGAACTCACCGCGGGCGCTGCAGCCAGGGGACGCGTTCTCAGCGGCCTTCGCTCACCCTTTAGGCTCTCCTCCTGCGTTTGGCTCGTGGGAAATCGACTTTCCTTATTAGAAGCTGAAAGTCAGACCGGATATTACAGCCATTCTCTGATGGGTCGGGATGAGGAGAACCGAAACCGAAAGCACGGGGATTTAACTGTTGGGAGTTTTTACGTTTTAGAACCCAGGCTGGAGACCTGACCGTGTGGGTGAAGCGAGGGCGCCCATCGCGGTCCTGCCACACCCGGCTTGGGACACCCAGGCGCGTCCCACCCTCACAACTGGCTTCGGCGACCTTGACCCCCAAATCAGTATAGAACGGCGGGCTGGAAGGTGCCCCGTGGAGGACACGGCGGAGACTTGAGGATTTCTGCAGCCTGTTTCTGAGGGATGCTTTGTCAGGAAAGAGGGTTTTATCCACAGCTCATCTCTTTTCTAATTAATCTTTCCCCCTTGTTATCAGCATAAGTGTTTTTGGATTAATGATGAGAATACATATATGTTCAGGTGTGTATCTACCACTCCTAATTTTAATATTTTAGAAATAATCACTATTATTTTGAGTCATAGGTTTTCTTTCTTTTTTTTTTTTTTAAGAGACGCAGATTTGGAACCCGGAGTTTATATTTTTTTCGGAGTCTCTTTAAATAAACAGATCCAAAAATAAAAATTTAGAAGTAAAATAAATTATATAACAGACAACAGATTATAAAAAGCTGAAAAAAGCCCGGATCGGTGGCTCAGCCTGGAATCCCGCGCCTCTGGGAGGCTGAGGTGAGTGGATTGCCCGAGCCCGCGGG